TTGGATTTTTTTTGCTACTTTTTTTTATCATAGCAATCCAAAGCTCTCTCCAAAACTTCCACATACTTTAACTTTTCCTTCCGAGCGATTGATTTTAGCTTCTTTAAGAATTCTTTTCTAACTCGGGTTCCTAGCTGGTGAGTTCGACCAGTTTTGTTGAGGGTTCGTTTGTCAACTTTTTTGGGTTGGTTTTCTTTTTTTTCGATTATTTCGGCACAACTAAGGCAGTAAGTATAATATTTTTTGAATTCTTCTCAATCACTAGCTAATGAATAAGCAGACTCTCATTGGAACTTTCTTTGACATTTATCACAGGTAAAATCTTCTATTTGGAGAAAACGGTTAAATTTAAGCATAAGGTTTTTTAGAATAATTATAGCTTCTATATGTTATTTTTATTAGTAAGCGGGTTGATTATCATAACTTAAACCGATATTGGAGAGCAAAAAGTTTAACCAGTATTTCATCAACTTTTAGCATAATTTTAGCGTCTAACTCTCCCAATTTGTCACCCAATCTTTGTTTATCAATGGATTTCACTTGGTCGCACATAACTTTCCCGCTCTCAATTAATAGCTCAATAGGATAATAAACTTTCTTAATTTTGGTAGAAAAAGGGAGAACGATTACCCTTTTGCTAACTTCATTCTGCCAATCATTACTAATAATCACTGCCGGTCGAGGTTTGCGAATTTCAGTACCCACACTTTTCTTATCAAACTTAACTCAATAAATTTCTCCCCGCTTAACGACCAACTTTTCACTCATTATTCTTCATCTTCGACTTGAATTCTATCCCACTCGGCAATTTCTTTTTGGCGTTCTTCATCCGCGTCAGCTAACCGGTAAGCTCTCTTTCACTCTTCGGCTTCTAATACTTCGGCTACTTCTTTCTCGGTTAGTTGTCTACTATGAAGGCGACTTTGTATCTCTTGCAAGAGTTGTTTATTGTCTGCTTGCCTTAATTCGTTCATATAATTCTTTTTAACACTTATCCCAACCCAAACATATAGAAGCTATAACCCCAAAACTACAACGTAAGTTGTAATCATTTTCAGTAAGAAGTATTTTGCGGTCTTTCTAACTTCCATGATATCTACTCTTACAACTAAAAATTAATTGTCTTTAAAGCGAGATATCACGGAAGCCTTCCATGCCTAACCTTACGGTATGATTAGGAACCGCTAGGGCTTGTTTTTCATTAGCCCCGTCATTAACTTTTGATTGTTAATAACGCTCTCCGTAGTCCAAAAATGGAAACGGCATCCAACTTATATCTTTCTTTAAGATACTTGTTTTTGGGAAAATTATGTAAAAATAACTTCCCCAAAGTAAATAATTACAAAAAAAGCGTTCTGCTCCTAGTAATTAGTTATTTTGGAAAGGTTATTTAAATTATTTCGCCTACCCGGTGGTTCCCGCGAGGGAGCAAAAAAAGTTTTCTCGGTTAATGGTCGGTAATCAGTCATTTTGTCAATGATTTTTGTGTAAGAAAAATGCTCTCGCATACTTTTTATCTCAATGCCAAAATCTTGCTTTAATAACTCAACAACTTCCTGCGGTGATTGAAAAACAAAATTATTCCTTAAAAAGAAAGAACCGGCTCCTTTTACTTGGTAAGGTTTGCCGTTCGGGTGAATGCTACCGATACCCATAATCCCACCGCTAATTTTAAAATCTAAAATGGCTTGACCTTGAAAATAACCCTTGCCGGTTTTTAATCCACAATTATCCTCATAAAGAAAAAGCAGTTTAATTTTGCCATTGTTGGCACTAATATAGCAGCACCAATATTTAGTGGGAATTTTAGTTCAACCTTTTTCGTCGATATCAATACAGCCAATGCGGACACCTTTATAACTGCCGTCTTTATTTAAGAGGGTGAAATAATTCTGACCTTTGGCTAATAATTGGGGAATTTTGGTTTTTCATCATCAGTTAGGTTTATTTCAGCCTTGAATGATTGGATGTTTGATTTTTAAAGAGCGAGGAACGGGGACTACTATGTGATGCTTATCTAGGCAACGAATAAAATTTTTTTCCCGGTTTTGGAGGAAAGGAGAACGGGGTTTAGGGAGTTTTAAGAGTTTCTGTTTTGAGCGACGTTCTTGTTGTTTTTTTAATAAATAATCTTGGCGTTTTTTGTTATAGGTGTGTCAGTATTGTTTTGATTTTATAGGTATTATTTCAACCTTTTTTGTATAATTCCCAATCACCATTTTAGTCGTGTGTTTAAAGAGCCTGGTAGGCTACTAGTAGGTAGGTAATTGGGGATTATACAACCTTTATTAACCTACCAAGCTATTTAAGCAGGCAACTTATAATAAAGTTTTAAGAATTTTTAGTCAAATCCTTTCAACTTTCCGAATTTTTAATCATTCGCCAAGAAAAATAAGCATAAGTTATTGCGTAAAGGATGCTAATGATGAGAAAAAAGATTGCTCA